TTTTGTACTTCCAGCACCAGAATACTGTTACAGGCTCCAGTGAAGCAATCAGCTGAATGCATGCCTTTTAATACTTTGTTGTTCCTCTTGCCGTGCCGTTGCTAAACTCAATCCCTGCAAATGAACAGTTGGAGTTGGAGAGGCCTTCTCTCATTACTGAGTGTGATGAACCGTAGATAATACATGCAGGTGGAAATCATGCTTAATAATCAGCATTACATAAGAATTTGCATGCAACAGATAAATTAAAGGTAGTGATAGATTAACTCCTAATTATCTCAGATGCTGATTTATTCATTAATTTCACTATAGTGTTTTGAAAAGTATCATGTTCGCAGAGAGAGAGTAAGCCAGCTATATGTGTCTTGAGGTCAGTTTGATGGATAGTCCACCTTTTTATTAGTCATACTGAATTAAATCAGGTTATGCTGTGAGTTAAATCACCTAGAATACATAATGTATTGAATATCTCATAAGCAAGCTTGATAAATATATTTCCCTCTTTGTATAAAATTGTTAACTGAGAGGTGTGGATGGATGCAATGCTTCACATGGAGTGGAAACTGGGGCAGAATATTGTAACCGATGTTGTGTTCCAAGACCAGCATAAGAATAGGTCCCATGACTAGCTGTATGACTTACTTGAAGACCAACGTTCAATTGCAGCTGTAAATTAATCTTATTCGCAAGCTAGAAGCAAATACAGAGAGCCTTGAAAATGTTCAGTGAGTAACTCTATTTGTCATGTTCAAGCAATAGGCAGAAACTGAAGGACAGTTCAATTAAAATGTTACATGCCTCATTTGCACTTAATCCTAAACAAGTGCACCATACACCATCCTCATTTTGATACTAAATTCTATACAACTTGGGATTCTGTCCTGTCGCAAGGGAAAGTCCATGTTATTATTATTTCACATAATGTCAACCTGCTCCACAGTGCTTTACAATTAGAGAAAAGGTGAGGAAGGTCATGCTCAAATGAGCTTACTATCTCTATAGTAGGCATATGTATTTATATGGTTAGGTGTCTTGCTCAATGGTGTATACGTGTACATGTTGGTTTTAACCCACATTTTATTCATGTTTGATTCATGTAATAAAAACCAAAGAAAAAACGTTACCTGCGCTCTTTCCACATACCTATCTATTTTTAAACAAATGGAGGTTTTATATGCCTCCAATGGCCCTGAGATGGTATGCCCACCTGCCACGTCAAGGCAGACCTCTTAGGTGGTTGCTAACTTTAACCATTCACCTTGCTTCCTTGAGCTTCTGGCAAAGATACCGCTAATGAGACAGAAAGGGGTATTTTTTTATATACATCCCTACATGCTTATTAACCCTTAATAGGGAACACATGGGATGGGCAGCAGCATTGTAACCTAGCTGTGTGATACAAAAGTGAATACAAATACAAAGAAACTAGTCCTGCGCTCAAACTTCTACTTCTACTTCTGGGTGGCAGCAATGACCGTAGTACACAACAGCCCAAATACATATAGTAAAAAACAAAGAAAAAGTTACCTGCGCTCTTTCCACATCCTTATGTATTTTTAAACAAATGGAGGTTTTTAGTTACCTCCAATGGCCATGAGAGGGTATGCCCACCTGCCACGGCAGGCCTCTTAGGTGGGTCCTAACTCCAACCATTCACCTTGCTTCCTTGAGCTTCTGGCAAAGATATTGCTAATGAGACAGAATATCTATATATATTATATTATGTGAGCTTCGATATTCCGTGTAGTGAATTAATGAGTTTGCTGGATCTTGAATGTTGTATTAATTGGCCCCAGCAGCATCTTATAATGTATGCATGTTCAGGTGAGTGCAGCCTCTTCATATATATATATATATATATATATATATTTGTGGTCGTATACAATAAGCCGAGTTATAGTAATGGTGGTGTAAGTCGGTTGTGGTGTGCTGGAACCGACGTTCAAATAGGCCTGTTAAAGAGGGCCCACCATTATGAACGGATTAATAAAGGAGTGGTAGGTGGGCTGAACCAGGCAGTCTCAGCCCAGAGGAAAGGGAGGTCTGTGTATTTATAGGCCAGGTAACTCCTCCCACAACTACTCATTTGTGGTCGTATACAATAAGTTGAGTTATAGTAATGGTGGTGTAAGTCGGTTGTGGTGTTCGGGTAGGCCTGTAAAAGAGGGCAAAAACTTTAACAGTTTAACACTGAATACATGTTGACATTAGATAACCAATACTTAAATACATGTCTCAATTCCCTTTCAGGTTGAGGGATCTATATGGCATTGATATTACTTGAGGTATTGGGAGCAGCACATATTCTTTTAGAATGACCTGAAAATGTTAAAGGTTGTATTAGAGTAGTTTTAAGGTGTTGTAAGCTAGTTAAAGTGCGAGGTGGCAAAGTAAATGTGAACGCCTCAATGGAATCAAATGAGTATGGTTTTATAATTTGATATGCAGAAGTGAGTTTGAAAAAAGTACAAAAGTACAAATGAGTACATTTTTTTTTTTAGTGAGCCTTCTTTCTTTTCCTTTTATTGGTCTCTTAGCAATTGATCTGTGAATAAAATCAACATTTAGTGACTATCCTATAGACATCAATCATCTCTTTGGCGCCATGAGGGTCATTCAGAATCACAAATCAAAACAAACATGCAGCCAGTGCGGTTTTTGTTTGTTTCCTGATTCGGCTACTTTTCGAAACAGAGTTCGTAAACTCGAATGCCCACTCAATCGACCCAAATTCAACAAATTGCAGTTCGTAACAAAACAAATCACCAAGTCTATGGCTTTTTGTTAAAGTATTGTTGCCACATTTTTAATATTTAACATCAGACTTATTTCACAATCTTGGAGCTTTTAAGCAGTTATTTAAGGATGCTTCAGGGAGAGTAACATTTCCACTGACATTTACGCAAAGCAAATTTGTTCACTCTTGTTTTAGCTTCAGTGCACTACAATGCTAGATGGTTTATATCAACTATTTCACTGCTGTATTGCTCTGAATTTAATAGTACTATTAAATCTTCCTACAGACCTGGATCAGACCTGGATCTCCAAAGAGGTTATTGTTATTAATAATAATTAGTAATATGAGTGATGTTAAAAAAAAGAATCAAGGAGAGATCAGCGAGAGACTCCAAGCTGGTCAGAAGCCTCTTATTCTGGTCTGTGCGTGACATCATGGCTACTATTGGTCTATTCACAATTTTGTAATCAGGCTGGGGACAGGGATACAAGTTGTATGCATGGAGTGTATATACTATACAAAAGTTGGACGAATCTTGAATGGCAATGGGGGATATATTTCTGCTTTGACATCAATGATCCAGGGTTCACTCTTGAAGCTCTAGCAATTTTTTTAAATATCTACATTTATTAGCCATCCTAGGCAGGTAAATAGGGAGCATGGTACTACACCATAGCCTTCCTAGAGTGACCCTTTCAAAATAAGACAACGCATTCTTGGTAAAAAATTTAAAAAACAAACAAAAAAAATCTAAATTTATAGCGCCTACATATTTATGTCTTTTTCCAAAAATGTTTTTTTTCTTTCTGTTCTATTGTTTAAGACGTGTTTTATTTGTATTAATGTAGTATTACTTCTAAAAAATAATAAAATATGTGAATTTCAAGGAACACTATATTGACAGGAATACAAACATGTATAACTCTGGTACCTCTGTCAGAAAAGTAAAATGTGAGATTACTTACCTTTATTCCAGCATCCAGGATATGTGTTCTTGGCTGAGACCATCAAAATGGTTGATCTCAGCAAATCCAATGCTTTCCTATAGGCTATTGCGTATGTGCGGCCAAAACGCCACATTGTGTCAATGTGAGAATCAATGTATCTCTATGAGGAACATTCATCTCCTCCATGCAGAGCATGAGAAGCTGAACGTTGTGCAGCACTGACCCAGGAAGCACCTTTAGTGGCCATCTGTGTGACTGTCACTACAGGTATTCCTACGCAGTAATGTAAACACTGCCTTTGCTCTGAAAAGGCAGTGTTTACATTAAAATGCCTGCAGGGACATACTATACACACCAGAATAACTATATTAAGCTGTAGTTGTTCTGGTAACTATAGTGCCCCTTTATCTCAAAATAGTCCTTAAGAATATATCTTATCCCTTGACACACGCTAACAAATAATGGAATATTCAAAAATATAATCACTCCTAATGCTCAGAACTTTTGCATATTAATTTATATTATATACCTATTTTATGCTGTATATTGTTTTATTGAAATAGTAAGTGACAATGACACGTAGTAAAAACACTTGCCAAAATGCAGTATAACGTCATATCAGCGAAGAGCTTTGGAAATATAAAATGTCAATATAAGGTCATGGTTGTAAAGGGCAGCATAGTTATATTCTATCACACTGTATTAATGAACTTTTTGAAACAACTAATCAGCATTGGAGCACTTAGAAGGGCACTACCAAAGTTATGTATACATGTTTAACGTTGTTAACCAATAATGCATTATATAACTTTTTTAGTACATGATTGAAGTTCAGACTGTAAAGAAACATATTTCTTACATTTACAACAGAACTGGAAATAAATGCACGCTCTTTAATCTCCCATCCTGTAGGCAGCTTTCAGTTAAAAACTGTTTTCGGGGGGGTGGGGCGGGGACGGTCGCACGCAAGTTCAGCTCCTGCAACACATCCACTATTAAGCATATAAACTATGGCAAACGACCTATCTACTGACCGGCAGCAAGGGTCTTAAGTGCAACAAAGACACCGGATCCTGGGAGAGGCTGGCTCCTTGAGCTTCAGTCCCCAGGAGATGAAGCCCGCGATGACTAAGTTGGGGCCTATGCCGGCAGTGAGCGGGGCGGACTATCCTGCCTAATGGTTCCAAACCGGAGGCCAAGACCCTGTCCCCCCCCCATGGACCAGCGGGGGTGATCTCGGTCCTCACCCAGAGGCTACGCAACCAGGGCCCAAAGACACTACCATCCCGATCGAGGGCCCGGATGCGACACCCAAGATGGCGGATGCCATGTGCGCCGGAATCGGCGGGAGGGATTGTGCCCTCACAGGGATAAGAGCAACCAACTGGGCCAGACACAGGCCAGAAGAGCCCAGGTCCTTCATACCATACACCGCAACCCCACAAGCGACCGCTCACCCGCCCACTTCAAGGGCCATGTCACAGGCAAGCTGCGGAGGAGGCCTGGCCAGACCCACAATGGCTGATGAACTGGCTCACACTGCACACGGTCTATCCTTACCAGCGACTGCCGACTTCGCAGCAGAGCAAGGTACTCCCACACAGGGCCGACCACACACTCACACCACGCACATCCTCCGGTCAATGGCGGCCCCGACGACGGTCTCACCCAGCAGCCAGCCATATCACACAGCGCCCAACCATCCATCCTGATAGACGCTCACCTCTGGATGCCCAGAAGAGGTACCCATGGCCGGTCGGGGAAGCAGCCCAAAAGACACCAACGAACAGCACAGCGACACTCCTGGAGAGGCACTACCCGAACCCTTGCATCAGCGGACACTCGCACCCGGTCACACAGGCACGACAAATCAGGCATTGGATAAGCACAAGCCCACTACTACCCACAAAGCCTCGGGCCCGCCAAGGCGTTAGTCCCTAGAGCACAAGCCAACTCACAAACTCTTGATCAGCCAGGGTGATATAATACTTGTAGAAAACCATTTAATACCAGCGTGTTTACATCCTTATTATCATAGTATAGCATATCGTTTAACTCTTTTAATACACTACGTAGGCATGCATCCAAACACCTGGCTTGCATCACACAGTTTAATGATACCTCTGATAGCTTAATAATCTGTTACTCTGCCTACTGTGCTTTTAATGCCTATTTGTCACACTACTACTATCTCGTTTATTAACTTTCGGTAAACACACTTACATCTGAACGAAATGTCTAGCAGTCTTACCTGTTTCATATATGCCATAACGTTTCAACTTAATGTTAGCTCTTACCAAATGTTGAAATGTGCCGACTAGCAAATGCTATAACATGTACCATGTGATGAAGAAATCTATACCTTGAAAACGCTGTTGTGGCGGACCAAGGCTGTTTGTTAATCTCTGTGCACAACAATAGAACAACAAAAAAATTTTTTTTTTTTAAATATAAGAGGCTTTTTCAAAACAATAGAGTGCTACTGCAGGCTCTAGAGGCAGTATACAATATACAACGTTGCAAGCTATTCAAGGATGTAATTACAAAAATAATCTGCAAAGGAACTAACCCAAGGGTAATTTATGGCAACACTATTGCATTGATCATGTTTTAAAGCAGCACATTTTAACACGGCTGCTAGTTTTCCCATGTTATATTTGATGCAATCCAGCATGAGTACTGCGAAGCGGATGATTATGGATTTCACCCTGACTGGCCGTTGCCCAATCTGAGACCCACAAAACCAATTTTTATGACTTTCCCCATAATTCTCATGCAGTGGACTTTAACTCCTCTAATCATCATGATGGTAGCACTCTATAGTGTATCTAACGCAATAGTTCCCTCCGATACACATAGTCTGTTTTCTTACACAAATTACTCTCTCAATCTCATCCTCTCACAGCTTACAGTTTAACCACCTCAAACAAACCTATGTAGAACTGATTTATGCAAACATATGACAGCATTCTTCTAAAGCCCCCGTCAATTAGAAATCCATATTTAAGGAGAACCACATAGCAATACACAGCAAAGTTCTTATCATGAGTAAACATCAAAGGCAATCAATCATCATATAATGGTCATAATGATAATTATATAGAAAGGCACAAATATTACACTGACTGGTAGTCCTTATCTGCATTCTTACTTAAAAAAAAAAAAAAACTACAATCACTTTTCTATTTCTGTGTGGCTGAATGCTATTTTTACAGCTTAATATTCTTATTGTGTTACTGTTGTTATACTCCATCCTATTCACGGGCTAGGGATAATTACATGTCAGAATATATTTGAAGTCTTAGATTGACTTACATTTATTCCTTTACAAAGAGACCTATTGTGTCTAGATTGAACATTTCTTCCCAAGGACCCAGATCTGTTTGCATTTGTAATGAGGTTACTTAACTGTTTTAATCAACAGCGATATTAATATGAATTCATCGCAAATTGCCAAAGATTGAAAAAAAAGCCTGCAGACTTAACGTGGATAAACATTGTGAGTCTGGCGAGGAAGTGATACAATTTATTTTCAAGATAATTCAAATTAATGAACTACAATAGAATTTAAAATGATCCTATAAGTATGTATGTATTTATGAATGTATATATTGAGGTGTATATGTAGCTACTTGCAGTATTCCTACTTGCAGTATATGTAGCTACTTGCATATCAGAATGCATAGGAGCTGCAGTTATTCATTTTTTTACAGCAACTCTGTTATGCAAAACAACATGGAGTCCCATTTTATTCTATTAATTGTGGAAAACATGATAGAGCCACATTTTAATCTATACATTGTGCAAGACAACAGCTACTGAATATCTAAATATATACTATCAGTGTTGTTTTTTTTTTAAATAATGTTTTTTATGATATTTTGTCGTTTGACCACACAAACGATTTGCCTGCACACGTGACTTATCTTACTGTATTGTTTGCAAATCCTTCATGGAAAGATAATAAATTCCAGGCCAGGGGGACATGTGACTAAGTGATGGACTGGCATTAGAGATTTTTTTATGAAAGTTTATTAAAATAAATGCTAATTTATACATTTCCTAGGTGTTTGCCTTGTGCATTGTGTAGCAGAAATAGTTCTGATATTTAAATGAGGGGAAATTAATTAAAATGCGAGCATGGCATTTATTTTGTGTTATATAAGTAGCTTACAAATGCAATCTTCTGCCCTTTCACACATTTGGTTCTTACTTTAGAAGCCTTCACCACTTTGTATATCATTTTCACACAAAGGTGATTGCAAATGGAACCGCAGTGTCATATTTACCTGTTTATTACTTCAGATGCTGTGTGGACTTTGTATATTTGCATAGAACAGTTACATCAGGGGTCCTCAAACTCCGGCCCCCCGGATGTTGCTGAACTACAACTCACATGATTCTCTGGCCATCTATGTAATTCAAAGAATCATGGGAGTTGTAGTTCAGCAACATCTGGGGGGGGGGGGCAGAGTTTGAGGACCACTGAGTTACATGGTAGTCGAACTTGAAAAAAGATGTCAAGTCCAGTGAGGTCAACCTTTCACACATCTTTTCATGCTGTTGAGGCAAAATCCCATATTCAAGTCATTGCAGTTGTACCAGAAAAAGGAAAAAAAAAAATTCTTGTCTCCATAATGGCAATTGGATATCTCCTGAAATATTTTGTTTTAAAAAAATCCAGGCATTTTTTTTAAAATGATCAAAAATACCCAACATCTGAAAAAGTATATAAAACATATATTTGTAAACATATATAAAACATACAATATGACAATTTCATTATCTATTTATATTTTTTCATTCATACTGAGTCTCTACATATTGGATGCATGTTTACCTTTGTGACATTTCAAAGTGAGCCTAGTTTTATAGGATGCAATGGTATTAGCGTTGACAGATGTTATGTTTCTTGTATTGCTTTTTCCAATCTAAAAGAACGTTAGTATCAAAGGAATAATTATATTGATTATATTGAACTGGATGAAACCTTGTACTGCAAAATGTGAGAAAAACTTCCTCACAATCAGGAAATAAACACTTTTAAATTGATAAGTAATATTGTCATGGACAATACCAATAGGACTGACGGCCAAAGTGTTTTTTTTTTTTTTTAGTAAATCAAGGGTAAGGTCATCAATGTTGGTCATTATTATTTAATCATCAGTCATCATAGCATTCCTCATGAGAGACACCAGATGATATAAATAAGAAATAGGGTCAAGATGGCAGAAACCTGCAAGAACCCTAATTTACCATGTAGAGGGCCCTAAACAGCAAGCAAGGTAGCGCCAGGACATATTAACATTGAGTGAACTTTATTGTGGCTTTTTATGAAGGTGTTAGTGATTACATTAGTGGGCACAGACTTGATTAGAAAGTGTTTGCCTTCAGTGGCTTCTTCAAGTAGTCACCTGAGTAGAAACATGAGCCATAAAACAACAGCAACAGATCTCCATCTTTTAAACTTCTCTGACCTCCTCGTCTTCAGATTGAGATTCAGGTAGTATGCCTCAAAGTAAGTCATAACTGAACAAATTTATAGTGCACCAGGGCTTGAGTTGTTCACTGTTTCATGTAAGTTATACGATTACATTGGCTTTTCTGCATTCTAAAATTGGCATTTGTTAGACATGTGCAATTTGTTACGGTCCGAATGTGAATTCGGGCGAATTTTGTGCAATTCGGACATTCGGATGCTTCCGAAGTGCCGAAGTGCTGAATTGTCAAAGTCCTGAATTTCGGAAGTGCCAAACCGAACCGAATTGCCAAAGTCCCGAATTGCTGAAGTACCAAACCGAACCGAATGATCGAAGTGCTTCAGATTTCTGAATAGTGGCAAAACAAGAGAGGGAGGGAGAATTACTTGAATGATGACAGGTTTAGGATTAGGGTAGGGTTAGGGTTATGCTTAGGGTAGGGTTAGGGTAAGATTAAGTTAGGGCTAGGGTTGGGTTGGGTTAGGGTTAAGGTAGGGTTAGGGTAGGGTTAGGGGTAAGGTTAGGGTGGGGTTAGGGTTAAGGTAGGGCTAGAGTGAGGATAGGGTAGGGTTAAGGTACGGTTAGGGTAGGGTTAGGTTAGTGTTAGGGTAGGGTTACAACTGGTTAGGGTAGGGTTATGTTAGGATAGGGTTAAGGTTAGGGTAGAGGTAGAGTAGGGTTAGGGTTAGGGTAGGGTTAAGGTAGGGTTATGGCAGGGGTAGGATAGGGGTAGGGTTAAGGTAGTGTTAGGGTGAGAGTAGGGTTAAGGTTAAGGTGACGGTTAAGGTAGGGTTAGGGGTAGGGTTAAGGTAGGGTTAAGTTAGTGTTAGGGTTAGAGTAGGGTTAAGGTTAAGGTGACGGTTAAGGTAGGGTTAAGGTAGGGTTAGGGTAGAGTTAGAGGTAGAGGTAGGGTTGGGTTAGGCTTAGGGAGTCCTACAGATTTTCGAAATTACCAAAATCCTGAATTGCTGAAATCCTGAACCGAACCAAAGTGCTGAAGTACCGAATTGCTGAACTCCCAAATTGCCAAATTTCCGAACACAGCCGAAGAGCTGAAGTCTCGAATTGCTGAAGTCCCAAATTTCGGAAGTGCCGAACTGAACCGAAGTCCCGAATTGCCAAAAAACTTTCTTACCCAAATTTCTGAACCAAACTGAATTTCTGGATCATGCACATCCTTAGCATTTGCAGAACATATACAATTTATCTTTCTCCTTCATTTACCTGGACAT